TCTTCCGATCTATGTACAATAAAGAAATGAATATAGGTGAGTCGTTAGAATTAAGTATAGAAGCCTAAATAAAGATATATTAGTAACCGACAAATTTGTGTATATGTATGCGTGAGATATATTGATGTGGTAATAAACATGACACATCACTACATACTACTACATCAATGTCGCACGCATACATGCTCACAAATTGTCGGTAAAACAGCGGATTTTTGGAGTTTGATCTAGGGTTTAGGATCCTCTTAAATGAACTTCTTACAATATCTTTTGTCTTAATCAAATCGTGCAATATCCTTACCCATACAGCACACATTACCAGAGGAATGTTCAGAGGACGTCCTTTACGATTAGAGGACGTCCTTTACGTCCTAAGGACTTTTACGTCCTTAGGACATATAGGATGTCTTCTGGATATCCCTCGGATGAAGTGTGCTGTATGGGTACCTAACTTATTGAAGCCATTTGTTGCAAAATCCGGCACTTACTGCTAGGCGCATTTTTGCTGTCTTTACTATCGCTAAACGTACAAATTACCATAAACTGCAGTCGTAAGGATTTCTTTTTTCTTAGGCGTTCAATCGTAATTCAAAAGGCTTTGTATTATTTAATTTGTTCATGTATTGTGTCCGATTCGAGGGACGTAAGCATTTTGCATATATGAGCTACAGAACTTCTACACTAATGAAATATTTACGTCAAGTGATAGCTGTACGATCCGAAAAAATGTAATTTTTTAATTTTTTTTAGTTTTGACTACAAATTCCTTCGTCCAATACATTTTATGTCTATTTTAATCTTGTAAAAGGATTTTCAATTCCGTTCTGTCATTTCGGAGAAATCTTTACAACTGCAATGTGTCGGTAATTCCGGCACATCGACCTTCCAGCATCGTCTTAATTAGTTACAAGTTTCCGGCTTCATGTAAAGAGCTGGGTTTCAAGATCGACAAATCATGCGGCGCGCAGATCGTGTATGGTTGGATATTGTAACAATAAGAATTAATAAATAAATTACCAGCTCGTTATATATAAACAATAAAAAAGACAGGACAGTAGGCCAAAGACGAGCATAAAACAAAGGGTGTCAATTAATAAAAATTCTTTAATAAGTCATTTAAATAAAATTAAAATTAAAAAAACGCGAGACTAGTTTCGGCTTACTTAGCCTTTCTCAATCGCTATTATATGATATTACAAACTAAACCGAATCCACGCATATGGAAATTTAGATAAATGTCGAACAGATCTTATTGTCCTCTTCTTCCAGCCAAATGTAATTCCATATTAGATATTTAACATGTCGCTTCATTATACCACCGATGCTTCACCAGCTGATTCTATGAGGATCGAACACAATTGATACGCGTTACATAAATTCACGATAACTGAGGCTGCGATTTTTAACACTTATGGCAACAGTGTATAATATTAAGCTTCCAACAAGATGTTATGTTTCCGAGGATCTATTGCCTACTAAAAGAAGAGCGTCAAACGTACAGATATTATAGGTCAAATCGATGGATTGTTTATACGATGTAAATGTCTTGGAGACAAACATTAAATTTCATTTACAATTCTGTCTAACAAGCTGAAATATGTCTCATCTAGCATCTCGGTATCTTCATTAGAATTAAGACCATTTTTTTGCG